TGAACCAAAGTGATGTAGGACTAGCTTAGTTCTAGTCCTTAGAGAATGTTGAATGGTCTTCTTGATTAGAGTTTTATGGCAATCAATGGCTATAATGGCTTATTAAAGGAATAGAGAGAAAATAGGGAGAGAAAGAAGAGAGAAAATACCTAGAATCACAAACAGGGTGCCTAGAATCACTCTAGGGCATGGGAATCACTCACCATAGCCCAGCATAAGTAGAAGAAAACTCAATATGATTCATTGTCTTTGTGTAAAATGTCATACATATTTATAGACTCTAAACTCCTAATAATCCTAGGAGTCAAACTGTTAGACTCATAATAGTCTTAGGAGTCGAACTGTTAGAATCAATAATCCTAATCCTACTTATGCAATCACTTTGAAATTTTAAACATAAACAAACTATAAGTACACAATTTAAGCCCTATCATTGGACCCCATAGAAAATTGCAAAAATGACAAAAATACCCCTACTGTCCAAAAACATAGAAATACATAAAATGTCATAAAAAACCAATTTTGACTCTTCAGCTCCTACAACCCCTGGTTGAAAAAAACTCGTGCTTGATTTTTGAAGAACTTGAGGATGAAAAGTTGATATGCCCCAATTACAAAGGGAGTAGGACATCCCACAGCTACATGCTTGGAATGTAGAGTAGAGGCCACACACAAAACTAGAAAAGGATCTTGAAAGAACTGTATTTCTGAAACACTGCCTTCTCTAACCATCTTTGTTAAATCATCGATAATATTAGTTTTTTGAACATTTAATTCATCAACTAACCATTGTGATGAATCTTCACCTCACTTATCCAAACTCTTAACTGCAACATTTGGAACCTTTCCTTCGACCTATAGCTTAGGAATCACCATCTCTATGTGTTTTTCTATCCTTGGTTCTTCAACAAACTCTAGGACTCCTTCCATTGTTGATGTTGGTGGAACTTGTGCTATGCCAGGTTGTAATTCTTGAATTAGTTCTAGTTGAACTTGAAAGGTAAAGTCACTTTCTTATTAGGATCTACTACAGTCAACAGATTTGTATCTTGTACCTGAATTTCTTTAACTTGCTCCTCTTCTATTTCTTCTTCATCATTAACCTCAGGCTGATAATGGGTGATGGAAACTACAGCAACCATTGTTTTTTTTTCTTGGCTTGCACCCTCTTGATTTTTAATATTTACAATTTCTATAGCTTGAAATTCTTCACTAACTTCATCCTCAACTTCAACTACAGGATAGGCATCAACATGCAAGGAACCATCTACTTTCTTTTCAACTTTGTACCTGCTTCCCCTTGACTTCAAGTTCTTTGTTGTAATCTGCTGCTTGCTCGAAATTAGTCAACTCCATATATAGATCATCATGGAATTCTAGTGGGATGTACTTTTCTTGCAAACACCTCTTCATCTCTGCCCATGTACTAATAATTGGATCATCGCCTCTCTATTTTCTAGTTGTTGCTCAAGAGTTCTCCACCATACTTTAGCATGACCCATCAGCTTCATGCATGCAAATCTAATCCTTTGTTTGTCAAGCATATCATGCCAATCAAAGTGTTCTTCTAGTTCAGCAACCCAATCAAAGAATGCTTGCAGATCATTATCTCCTTTGAAATCTGGTATTTCCCTTTCTCTTCTAACATGTTTGAAAACCTTGCTCCCACAGCCAACATTATTAGATTTGTTTTCTTCCACCATCTTCTCAAATAAGTCAACCGAAGGCCCTTCATATGGTTCAGAAACCCAATCATCATTGATTCTAGACCTTTAAGATTGTCTAGAAGATACCCTAGGCCTATAGAATCGGCCACTTTGTGAGAAAATTGTGAATAAACCATTAACTCTGATACCAACTGATGTAGGACCAGCTCAATTCTAGTCCTTAGAGAATGTTGAATGACCTTCTTGATTAGAGTTTTATGGCTGTCAATGGATGTAATGGCTTCTTAAAGGAATAAGAGAGAAAATAGGGAGAGAAAGAAGAGAGAAAATACCTTGAATCACTTACAGGGTGCCTAGAATCACTCTAGGGCATGGGAATCACTCACCATAGCTAGCATAAAGTAAAGACAACTCAATATGATTCATTGCCTTTGTGTAAAACGTCCATACATATTTATAGACTCTAAACTCATAATAATCCTAGGAGTCAAACTGTTAGACTCATAATAGTCTTAGGAGTCGAACTGTTAGAATCAATAATCCTAATAGGACTCAAACTAAGCTGTTATATCCTATTTCAATTCAAAGAAGACTTAATAATTCTAATCCTACTTATGCAATGACTCTGAAATTTTAAACATAAACAAACTATAACTAGACAATTTAAGCCCTATCATTGGACCCCACAAAAAAATCACAAAAATGACAAAAATACCCCTATTATCCAAAAATACAGAAATACATAATGATTGACCTCTCTATCAATTTGATGTTAAGAGTACATTCTTGAATTGTGACCTCACTAAAGAAGTTTATATGTCTCTTCTCCCTGGTATGTATGGTAAGGAGATGCAAGGCAAGGTAATGCAAACTAAAGAAGCCACTTTATGGCTTAAAGCAATCTCCATGTGCTTGGTTTGACAGGTTTAGGGCTGCTCTTGTTTAGTTCGTAAAAACTTAAACTCAATCAGATCATACCCTCTTTGTTAAGAGGAGAAATACTTAGGTCACATTTCTTATTGTCTATATGGATGATATTGCTGTTACTGGCAGTGATACATAGGAAGTTAATGCTCTCAAGGAGTTCCTTAATTCTGAATTTGAGATCAAAGACTTAGGGGGGTTAAGATATTTCTTGGGCATTGAAGTTGCTACATCTAAAGAAGGTATCTTCATTTCCCAATGAAAGTATGTGCTGGACCTTCTCACTAAGACTGGGAAGCTTAGTGCTAAACCTGCCTCCACCCCTATTGATGTGAATCATAAGTATTTAGCTGATGATGGTGATTAGATAGGGGAGTGTTTCAGAGATTGTTGTGGAGACTTCTTTACCTTTGTATAACACATTCAAACATTTCATATGCTATAAGTGTAATTAGCCAATTCATGCATCCCCCAGAGACACACATATGGCTTCTATAGATAGGACGCTATGTTATCTTAAGGACACTCCTGGGAAGGGCATACTATTTGCCAAACATGGCCATATGAAGTTAGAGGCCATTACAGATTCTGATTAGAAAGGTAATATAGATGACAGATCCACATTGGGTTATTGTACTATGGTAGCTGGAAATATTGTTTCCTAGAAAAGTAAAAAGCAGTCAATGGTAGATAGATCTTCCGCTGAGGCAGACTATAGGGCTATGGCCCATGGGGTTTTAGAGTTGCTATGGCTTAGATCTCTCCTAGATGAGATGGGTATCTCTTTTGATAAGCTCTTGATGTTATATTGTAATAATCAGGCTACTATTAAGATTGCTCATAATTCGATTCAGCATGACAGAACTAAGCACATTGAGGTAGACAGACACTATATGTGGGAGAGAGTGGTCACAGTGGAAGTGTGTTTTCCTTTCATTGCTTTAGAAGAACTAGCAGATTTTTTTTTTTTTTTGACTAAGGGAGTTCTCAAGACAAAGCTACAACATTATGTATGCAAGTTGGGCATGATTGGCATCTATGCATACTTGAGGGGGAGTGTAGAGAGATTGGGCCAAATGGGCCTTAGTTTTTATTTTATTTAAGTAGCTTTATTTCTGCTGTTATATCTACCATATTCTTTATGGGCCTAATTCTTATCGCCCAACCAAGGGCACTCTTCCTGTTAAAGCAGAAGAAATACTGTGGAGGGCTGCTACCACTCACATCTGAACTGAAAAGCATCACTGGCTGCACTGAAAAACTTGTAATAGTACTGCAGCTGAAGCACCAAGAACCTTGTAACAATACTTGGTTCTCCACCTATGAGCTGAAACTAAAACTCCCCTATGCAGTCTCCTGCTAGTAGTCGAATGACTACTCACTTCATACAGTCTACTTAGGGCATAATATATATATATATATATATATATATATAAAATACAATACATAAATTTGAATCATTCTTTCTCGAGCCATATGAGGGTTGTTTTAGTGGTTCGAACCAGTCCTGTTCTGAGAGAAAGAAAGAGAGAGAGAGAGAAAAAGCTGTCGAATTAGTGAGATAAACCCTACTAGTTGGCCATAATCTGTATTATAATGTAATTAGAGTACAATGTCAAAACTGCCCCTACTTAAGTATGGGACAAGTGAACTACAAAAGTCAAAACAGAATTGCCACATCATCATAACTTAAACCATAATGAGAAAACTAATCTACCCTTACTCGACCAACTCTAACAAGGGTAAACCTCCTTTACGTTTTTAGGGGGAGCATTGTTCATCTACGTCCATCCCAATGAGCCATCTATCAAATTGTTGCAATTGATGTTCGATCCCRAAGAGAAGGAAGAGATCTTTGGAAAGTGGGTTTTTATGATCTGAGAAGCTTCAGTTTATCTATCTAGAAGCTTCTCTTGGTCCCTATTCCCAAAGAGACACCCTAGAGCTGGTTTTCAAGGGTGGGTGATCAGAACTAGGGTGATTATGATTTATGACTAGTGCAAATAAATAACGAGATCAGAACTAGGGTAGGAAATCTTTGGAAAGTGGGTTTTTATGATGTGACAAACTTCAGTTTATCTATCTAGAAGTTTCTCTTGGTCCCTATTCCCAAAGAGAAACTCTAGAGCTGGTTTTCAAGGGTGGGCGATCAGAACTAGGGTGATTATGATTTATGACTAGTGCAAATAAATAAGGACCAAGTGCTGAATCCTAATCTGAATTATGCACAAATATATATTTGCATCATTACGTTGGCATGTGCAGAAGACGAAGTACGAACTTCATAAAGGGATGCACACACAAGAAGATGCAAATAAGCAGAAACTTGCATTCAGACTTAAGTGAACCTTCTAGCACATGAAAACCTACATACATGCAACACACACCCACAAATAAAAATATGCACACCTTCCCACTATTCCAGAATCATTTGAGCTTCCAGGTTGGATCTTCAAAACTTTCTTGACAAGATGCATTGATCCCTCAGCATCCCAAATCATCTCATAGTCACAGCTTTCATCTTCATTCTTCTCTTTAGCTCGACTTTTTAAAAGGTTAAGAGTTAATGCTCTTCTGATGGATCCCATTAAGTGATTGCAATGATGCCATAAGTCCAAATCATTTGTTGGCCAAAAGAGGACCGCGATCAAGGTTACAAAGAATATAGACAGGTACCTGATGATTTGGAGAAATGTATATTAGAGTGAATCTAATTAGAAAGTTTCAAAGACATAAGTGTACTACCATTATGATACCATATGTAAATGTGTGTTTGCATAGGAAGAAAGCAAAGCTGTGTTGACAGGGCATCTTCAGGATTGGTTGTGTTTGAGAACACCATACTTGCTGACAGTAGCATGAATGATGGATACAAGTTTCCCTGCTGCCAACTCAAGGTCCCTACGGTATGCTGTGTATCAAACATAATGAGATGACATTCTCAGCCAAAACTAAAACCCCCAACTATTAGGTGCTTACCTCTGTTATGGTTCCATATTTTCCTAGGTGGTTCACCATGCACTGATCATGGTCATGACCAGACAATACAAGTGCCTGTTGTAAATTTGTGATATCAAATCATTGTAACATGTGGCTACTTGCAAATTTTCATTTTCCAACCATAATTTGATGACAAGCGTGGAAGACATCAAAGAATGAGAGAAAGGAGAACTTACAGGTCTGATAAAGTCCAGTAAAAGCGTTGATGTTTCCTTACTGAGATAATTTTGATACCTGTATTGACAAATTAACTGTTAAACCATAAGGTAACTAGATAATCTTACTTGTACCATATTTTATTAACAAATGTACTTACATTAGAGTCAAATGGAAAATGAAAGATTAAAATCTTACATTATTTCTTGACCATTAGCAGCTCGTGAAACCCTCTGGAGATCAATATAAATTAGATAAACTGCCATTACTGAAGGAATAACATGTATTTAATTTCATAGACCATAATGTTTTTCCTTTTTCTTTTCCTTATCTTCCCTATCTCTAACCTGCAATGGCATGAATGCAGTACATCAACCAAGATATGGGCTGGAATCCAAGCCCATTAGGTGTTTAGAAGGAGATTTCTTTTAGAAATATAAATGAGAAAAATCATACAAGAAAATCTTGTACATATATAAAGAAGAAAGGATTAATGAAGCAACTTTCCTATAAAAATTCATTTGTAGAAACATGACAATTCCATGGGGGAAAGAAGGATGTAGGACAGTCATAGGAAATGCTTTGAAAATGTCGTCTCCCTTTTCCTAATGGAAAGTAAAAAGTACTGTCATGGGAAATGAAGAAAATCCTATTGCTATGTCTTCATTGGCCAATGGGCCAGGAAAGATTTTGAAAGGTAGATTTAATGAGTGATTAAATAGAACAGAAGTTGTTGGAATTTTATTTAGGCTGTGTTTGATTTGAAAGAAAAGGTTTTGTATAGGCTTCCCTACCTTTCCCTACCTTTTCTTTCTTAGAGTCTCTTTTAGTCCAAGAGTTGATAGTCGTGTCTCGAGTCCTTTTTCTTTAGTTCATTCTGATGTCTAGGGTCTGATCAAAGTGATGTCATACAATGGCTATAAGTATTTTGTAACTTTTGTTGATGACTTTTCAAGGATGACATGGATTTATCTTATGAAAGATCGCAGTGAATTGTTTTCTATTTTTCAAAAATTTTATGCTGAAATACGTACCCAATTTGGTGTTCATATTAAAATTCTTCGCTCCGATAATGCCAAAGAGTACACCTCAATACCATTTCAGCAATACTTAGAGCACCATGGGATAATTCATCAAACNTAATGCCAAAGAGTACACCTCAATACCATTTCAGCAATACTTAGAGCACCATGGGATAATTCATCAAACTTCTTGTGCCTACRCCCMACAACARAACGGTGTASYTGAACGGAAAAATCGACATCTCCTTGAAACTGATCGGTCCTTGATGCTTAATATGAATGTCCCAAAACATTTTTGGAGTGATGCCGTCCTCACATCCTGCTTTCTCATCAACCGGATGCCCATGTCCATCCTTGGAATTCAATCCCCCTTCTTGGTGTTGTTTCCCACCTTGTCTCTGTTCCCTCTCACCCCAAGAGTCTTTGGATGTGTTTGTTTTGTTCAAAACTTGGGGCCTGGTTTAGACAAGTTAGATGCACGAGCTACTAAGTGTATCTTCCTTGGCTACTCGAGGACTCAGAAAGGGTATAAGTGCTATAACCCTAAATTCCATAAGTCGTTTGTGTGCTTCGATGTCACCTTCTTTGAATCAGTTCCTTTTTTCTCAAATACCGTGGTTTCTTCTCCTTCCGTCGTAGTTCCTCTTCCCGTCCCTGTTGCAGATCCCTTTCCCGTGGCTCCCATTCCAGTTGCTGATTCACCTCCCATGCCAGTTACTACTGAGAGGCCACCAATCACACAAGTGTATACTCACAAAAGAGCACTGGCCCCTCCTCCAATTCAGCCCTCGCCGACAGATCCTGTCATTACTTCTCCTCCCTTAGATCTTGATCTTCCTATTGCCTTGCAGAAAGGTAAACACACTTGTACCTCTCATCCTATTTCCTACTATGTTTCAGCTGCCACCTTTCAGCTTCTCATCGCAACTTTATATCATTGCTATCATCTGTTTCCATTCCCAAGATTGTCCGGGAAGCCCTTACCTCCCCAGGGTGGTGGCAAGCCATGGAAGAGGAACTCTCTGCTCTACAACACAATCACACGTGGGAACCCATTGCTCTTCCTCCTGGTAAGCTTGCTGTTGGGTGTAAGTGGGTATACACAGTGAAGTATCTTCCAGATGGCAGTGTGGAGCGATTGAAGGCCAGGTTAGTGGCCAAGGGCTATTCTCAGCTGTATAGTGTGGACTATATGGAGACATTTTCTCCTGTGGCTATAATTGGTTCAGTTCGGGTGTTGATTAGCTCCTATGTATGATTGACCTCTTGTGCAACTTGACATAAAAAATGCTTTCCAACATGGTGATCTCATCGAGGAAGTGTATATGGAGCAACCGCCAGGGTTTGTTGCTCAGGGGGAGGATGGTAAGGTTTGTAGACTCAAAAAGGCAATTTATGGACTGAAACAATCTCCACGTCCTTGGTTTGGCAGGTTCAGTGAAGTAGTGAAAGACTTTGGGATGAAACAGTGTTACGTAGACCATTCTGTGTTCAACCATGATTCAAAAGATGGGAAAATCTTGCTAGTGGTGTATGTGGATGATATTGTCATAATTGGGAGTCACAGTAACGGGATTGACAGGTTGAAGAAATTCCTATAGGACCACTTCAATACGAAAGATTTGGGTAAGCTGAAGTACTTTCTGGGAATAGAAGTTGCAAGGTCAAGGCATGGAATTAACTTATGTCAAAGAAAATATGTTCTTGATCTACTTGAAGAAACAAGACTGTTAGGTGCTAAACCAGCAGAGACTCCTATGGAACTTAATGTCAAGTTGAGTGTTGATGCAGGTGAAGAGTTTGATGATCCTGGAAGATACAGGAGGTTGGTGGGAAAGTTGAATTATCTGACTATTACCCGACCAAATATATCATTTGCTRTKAGTATGGTGAGTCAGTTTATGCAACATCCTCGGATTCCTCATTGGGAAGCAGTTCTAAGGATTGTTAGGTACCTGAAGGGTGCTCCAGGTCGTGGTTTGCTATACCGAAGTGGACGGACTTTTGAAATAGTAGGGTATACAGATGCTGATTGGGCTGGTTCTATATCAGCCAGGAGATCAACTACAGGATATTGTACCTTCCTTGGTGGCAATCTTGTAACTTGGAAGAGCAAGAAACAAACAGTGGTGGCAAGGAGTAGTGCAAAAGCTAAGTACGGAGCTATGGCTCATACCACATGTGAACTAGTATGGTTGAAGAACTTGCTACAAGAGATGGGGTTCTTGGTTGACAAACCTATGAGACTATACTATGATAACCAAGTTGTTGTTCATATCTCTTCCAACCTAGTCTTCCATGAGAGAACCAAGCATATTGAGGTCGATTGTCACTTTGTGAGAGAAAGTGATAAGTGGAGTGGTAACCACATCTCATGTGAGCTCAGGAAATCAGTGGGCAGATCTCTTTACAAAGGGATTGTCTCGGGGCAGAGTAGATTATATTTGTGACAAGCTGGGACTATATGACATACACTCTCCATCTTGAGGGGTGTGTTAGAGTACACAAAATAGGGGTATTTTGGTCATTTGGGTTTATCTATTTGAGAGTGAAAGGTCTATTTTGTTTAAGTTTAAGTTATGTGTCCCATCACTTATGAGGGACAATATGGTCTTTCTTGTAACTATATTATTTGAGATAAATACAAGTGGGTCGGCTAGAGGTGGACTGATTTTCTCAATCTGACCGAATTCTTCTTCTTCTTATTCTTCTTCCTCTCTTCTTCTTCTTTCTTTTCTTCTTCTCTACTTTAACCTAGAATCGTATAGGTATTTTACAACTCAAAAAGAAGGGATTGACTACAAAGAGACCTTTGCTCTAGTCGCGAAGCTCAACACAATCCGGGTCTTATTGTCATTAGCTACAAATTTCTCAATGGAGCTACATCAGTTGGATGTGAAGAACGCTTTTCTAAATGGTGATCTACGTGAAGAGGTATTCATGGATTCTCCACCAGGTTATGTCTTTGATGGGAAAGTATGTAAACTGAGGAAAGCATTATATGGCCTTTAGTAGTCTCCTCGGGCTTGGTTTGAGAGACTTTGTGGGGCCATGAAGAGAGTGGGATACACTCAAAGTGGTGCAAATCATACTTTGTTCATAAGGAAACAGAATGGCCGACTTACGGTACTCATCGTTTATGTGGATGATATGGTGATTACAGGAGATGATCTGGAAGAGATAAAAAGATTAAAGGAGTTCTTGGCTTCTGAGTTTGAGATTAAAGACTTGGGCCATCTGAGATACTTCCTTGGAATTGAAGTTGCTAGGTCACAAGAGGGCATCTATATATGTCAGCGGAAGTATGTCCTTGACCTTCTAGGGGAGATAGGTATAATGGGGTGTAGACTAGCAGATACTCCAATAGAACATAACCATGGTCTACAGGAATCAGTTGGAGAGGACTATTTTGATAAAGAAAGATACCAAAAACTGGTAGGAAAGTTGATAATATCTATCTCTCACTCGACCAGATATTGCTTATGTTGTACATGTTGTCAGCCAGTTCATGCACTCTCCAAAGATTCCTCATATGAGAGCAGTGGAAAGAATTCTTAGGTACTTGAAGACTTGCCCAGGAAAGGGAATTCTGTTCA